CGCTGAACAGCAGAAAAAATGAGTCATGTGGGTCCCTAGCACTGGTCAGGAAACAACATGTGCAAAGGCCCTGTGCAGAAATGTCTGGTGTGCTCCTAGAACAGCAAGGAGGTAGCATGGGATGTGGAGGAGAAGCAGGACCCAGGTCATGACAGCCTTGCCAAGCACAGGGTGAACTTGAGGGTGTAGTCCAGGCTGTCTGGCAGGATCAGCTCTCCCATTATTCAAAGGCTCCCACAGCTCCTTAGAACCCGGCTTGGTGCTCCAGGTCCAAACCCACCTTTTCTCTATACTCCAGCTACAGGGCCCTCGCACGTGGCATCTGGAATCCTTTTCTGTTTCTACCCTTCATCACGGTTAGCTCCTACCTAACCTTAGCTTCATATTTTAGCTCAAATATCTCAGACTTCCCCCCATTCCAGCCCTAGGAACAAGCAGTCGGTCCATCCTTCCAGCATGGAAACAAATCCTCGGGCCTATCTGGCCTGCCTCTTCTCAGGGTTCCCCTGTACCCACTCCCCACCTATCCCTGCTCACTTGCCTTTTACAGCCTCCTCTCTATACCACACCCCTCTCTGAAGTCCCTAAAAAGACAGGGCAATCATTACACATGTAACACCCAAAACACAGCCCCAAATCCTGTGATCAAGGAATCTTTGCACAGCGACTAAGTGATCCCCATTGTACATATGGATGTATCTGGGTTCCCTGGGGACCTGGGATTCCAGGTGGATGGAGAGGTGCATGGCAGGGGCCACAGCGTCAGTCTTTACCCATCTTGGAGATGCCCTGGCCAAGGGCATGGTCACCCATCTAGCTCCCATCTGCTTGGTCCCCAGCTCGGCTCCTAGCACTCGTGGGCTCTCGCGGATGCTTTTCTTACAAGTATCCTACAGGTTCTATTTTTAAGAGTGGCTCCAATTTAAAGGACACGAGGACGGTTTGTTCAAAAGCATCTGAAGAGTTTCCGAAGGGAGACTGAAACCAATAAATGAGCGGCCGTCTGTCATACCACTCTGGGAAAACTGAGGGAATTGTGGCCGGGTTAGGAGGTACCAGGCAAAACAAGAAAAGCCAAGCAAACAGCGACTGGTGGGAAAACAATGGAAGGAAACACGAAGGAGATATGCAACGTGAGACAGCCTTTGTAGAGCTGTGACCGAAACATTGTATAATCACAATGAAAAACTGGGGCACACCAGGTTAGAGAAGCACGCAAATAAAAGGCAACTTCCTTGGTATTAATCAAAAGGAAGTTTGAACGCCTGCCAGGCTCGTGCATCATGCTAAGCACATGAATGCAGGTCTTCCCAGCAGCTCAGTCACCTGAAAGGACAGGACTGCTTTCGAATGAGAAAACTGACCCCATGGCCAGTGAGGGGAAGGGTTGAGCCATGCCAGGCCAGCAGGCTGCTGCCCTCACTATAAAGGCACCAAATGGCTAAGCCAATCGATATTTGCCCCAAATCAACCAGCAGCAAGGGGGGAAAGCTCCTTAGCAATACAAAGGCAGATACCAAAAAATTTAAAAAAAATAAAATAAAAATACTGAAAAAACTGAAGTGGTTGCTCAGGAGGATCCAGGCTGGGAGGGGAAGGATGCTTTTCACGGTGCCTGTTTAACCCATTTATAAGCAGAGAGGAGTCTGCAGGTGGGGCAGGATGTGGGAGGGGAGAGACACAGGTAGCTTTCCACGGTGATGGTGGCGGGACTTGGGGCACAAGACACACTTGGCTAAACTCAGAAAGTGGTGGCCTTTTAAGAGCTGTGAGTTTCACTGTTATTAAAAACGAACAACAAGCAAACACACAAACGACTGAGGAGCTGGCTCAGGATTGTGTACAGTGTATGCTGAACAAGCGTGAGGACCTGAGTTCGGATCCTCAGCAGTGCAGGGACACGCACAGGTGGTCAGGGACACACACTGGGTGTGGCAATGAGTGTCTGTAGCCCCAGTATGGCAGGGACACACACAGGTGAATCTCCAAGGGCTCGCTGGCTAGCCAGCACACCTGGACATGGGGAACTCCAGGTCCAGTGAGAAACCCTATCTCAAAAAACAAAACAAAACAAAAAAAAAACTCACCACGGAGAACAAAAGAGGCAGACAACAGATATGAACCGCTGGCCTCCACGTGTACATGTGCAGGCAAGTTCACCTGTACAAACGCATGCACACAAACATCATATACAATAATATGTCATACCCTGAAAGGAAGTGTGTTGATACACTTTGAGAAGTTTGTTAAGAAGTGTTGATTTAATGGATAGGTGGGTGCAGGGTAACATTAAAGTGCATTTGGAGGTGGGTGAGTTCATTTCCAATAACAAACTGGGGGAATGGGCCATTGCATTACTTGAAATATATAATATTGTTAAAAACCTAGCCGGGGTCCTGGAGAGATGGCTCTGCAGTATAGAGTACTCGTTGCTCTTACAGAGGCCCTGGGTTCAATTCCTAGCGACCGCACGGTGACACACAACCATCTATAATTCCATTTCTAATGAATCCTGTACCCTCTTCTGACCTCCACAGTCACCGGGGACCCGTGTAGGACCCATACACACAGGCATGCAAAACATTCATATATACAAAACAAAACCAATCTAAAAAAGACAAAGCTAAGAAAACAAAACAAAATACCAAGCTAGCAGGAGAGCTGTCCACACCTGGACAGACTGCCTACCTTCTGGGTATGAGGAGCAGCCGCCACTAATGTCCCCACTGTACTCTGAGAACCCAAGAGGTCAAGGGCCGATCGCCTTAACTCCTCACTGCTCCGTGCTCCCCTACACCAAAGATGCCAGGGCAGATGGGGAGGTCTGCCCTGAATCTCCTGGGATGCCTTGCTTGAAGAAATAATGACGTCACCAGAGACAGCCCCTACAGTCAGCTATATTCCACTCTCTGCCAAAGGGTAAACTGAGGCCGGGCTATGGGGCTTTTCCCAGGGGCCGCTTACATCTCCAGTACTGGAGTGGATTGCCAAATTGCATTCTCCCAAGCTTTCATGTCAGCTGATGGGGAGGACCAGAAAGGAAGGCTCATCTCTGCCTAATTAGGGACCGGCAGCTGGGGCCAGGCTGGCTGGGAGCGCCGGCAGCCAGGGCAGCAGCTGCGGGGCCTCTGTAGGGCGGAACAGCAGCAGCACTTGGGCTTAGACTCCTGATTCTCACACTACAATGGAGGCAGAACAATGGAGGAGCTGCTACCCCAGATCCTACAGCTGCCGGGAAGAGGGGCCCCTTAGAGCCTGTTGCTCCCACAGACTCTTAAAAGATTGAGGGGCCTCTCCCAAAATCAGGGAGCACCTGTGGGAGAAATCAAGCCTGGTTCAGCCCCATTGCCACGTCCAGTAATACTTTCCAGAACTGAGGTTCCTGGACATACCTGCTTTAGATTCCACCAGATTTCTCATCCTCTCCACACACTGGCATGGCTGTGGAGTGTCTGGAAGGACAGACTGTGGCCCAAGCTGTCTTGCAGTCCTGCCCTGTGATGGCTCACGAGTCTCCACCACTTCATGTTCCACTTTCTGCCCCAAGACCACACACCTGCCTCTCCAAGCATCACCTTGAGTATCAATGAGAGGTGTGGCCAGCACTAACCTCTCCTCCAGGAACAGCGTTCACCCACTGTTCCTGGAATCAGAACCCTAATGTCTCTAATTTTGTTTTCTTTTTGCCTTGGTTGACCTGTAATTCGCTCTGTAGAACAAGCTGGCCTCAAACTCACAGAGATTCACCTGCCTCTGCCTCCCAAGTGCTGGAATTAAAGGTGTGCACCACCACCACTCAGCCAGAACCCTAATTTCTTCACAGGTACAGTCAGCTCATCTATCCTCCTGGGTGGCCAGGGCACTGAGGATCACAGTCAGAAAGGGGCCCTGACCCAAGGCCAACAAGGTACCCAGACAGGCAGAGTGGTCTTTAGCATCTTGAGGCATCACTATGCAAGGCGGGCCTGGATCTCTCCACAGTCCCATTTCTTTTTGCAGCATGGAGACTATGAAAACCCACCAGTGGCAGGAGACTGCCCTCCTGTGCCTTTCTCAATCTGTATCCCCAGTGGGCAGAGCGTGTCCTCAGTTTCCCCTTCTTTCTCTAAACCACCCAGGACTTTGGGGGTTGGTGGCAAACAGACAGCTGTGCTGACCCAGATGTTTGTCAATAGCCCAACGGAAATCTCTCTGTGCTTAAAATAAAGCCAGCATCGAACCTGACACCATGCCTCCCCTGATGTTTCCTGTTTCTGAAGACTGGAGCCGAGGCAGCCTGCAATGAGGAAACACCACCCAGTCCCCCTCCCCGTGGAAGACAGTCAGGCCATCCCCCAGGTCACCCTTCATGCACCCAGGAGTCCTGCTGCTCCACCACATGGGAATACTAACTTGGGAGACTGGTCAGATGTGAGGCCATAGCTCCTTAGTTAGCTGCTCTGGGATATAGAGCAATTCAAAAGCCCCAGAATTTAGGGTCACCACCAAAGACCCATACCACCAAGCGCTCTGCTGAGGCCCAGAAGAAAGACTGGCCCGTCCAGGGTCACCCAGGGTCACAGGCAAGGCCACCACTCTGGGTTGTTCTCCCCCAGGTCCCTCTTCCTCCAAAACTCTCACCTCCAGTCCCTGCTCAGTCCTGGCGGCCTACAATCAGAGCTTTCTCTTGCTGAACCGCCTTCCATTGGGAACTCAGCAGGGCTGGCTGCTTTCAGGGTGAGTGGCTCCATGCCTCCTGCCAGCCTTTTCCTTGTGCTTTCCTTTTGGAGGGGGAAAGAACACACTCTCGGCTCTGATCCTACTCACTGGCTGGCCGTCTCCTCACCTGTGGAGGATCCCGCAGGTGAGTCTCAGGTGAGGCCTGCCTGCACGACACAGGTGAGTCACTGGCCTCCTGAATATCGGGGTCAACAGTCATTTCATTTTGCAGGCCCTATCCCAAGCCTTCTCCCACTCCTCCCTCTGTGAACACAGAAGAGTCTGAAGCACCAGACTTTGAGAAACAGACATTTGTGTTTATTAACCACAGAGAAGTCTGAGCAGCAGCTCCTGGCCAGTCCCTCCTGGGATAGTTTTACCCACCCAGACCACTTGCCAAAGACCAGGAAGAGCAGTAGACAGATTCCAACGCTCAACCTCCTCCCCAGAGGAGTTCCCCGGAAGCCAGGGCCCATTCGGTAAGGAAGAGGAAGTCAGCAAAGGAGGACAGAGAAGGAAGGAGGAAACGGGCCCCTCGGGGCAGACAGGCTTGGCAAAGTACTTGGTTCCCAACTCAGTGGAGGGGAAGCAGCCCAAATCCAGCCTTACCAGAGGAACCAGGCAGAAGCACACTGTGTCACAAACCTTTTTTAGGGGTAGGGGAGGCCAAGGGCAACAGCAAGCCTCTGTAGGTTAGTCCTTGCTTGCCAGAGGATGCTGGTCTAGGACTAAGTCTTGGCCTCTACACCAAATTCAATCAAGGGAGCTGCCAATGAATACAAGAAAGGACAAGATGCCAATTGCCTCTTCACGATGTCCTTCCGGGAAGCCTGAGTCCAGGAGATCTAGCCCTCTGTAGCCGGAGGGTCACGTGCCTGCCGCAACCCATACAGCCACTTGATCACGCGGGCATTGCGCTCAATCACAGACACGCCGTAGGGGACACGCTCCAGGGCCCGCTCCTCCACTGTAGCAGAGCTGCGGCGTGAACAGCCCCCTTCTGAGCTGCAAGGTCCAGCACTCGGGCCGGCTAGAGACACGATGTCCGAGCTGGCCCTTGCTAGGTGGGCCACCCCCAATCCTCGTGCTTCCTCGGGATCCAGGCCGCAGAAGTTAAAAAAGCGCTCGAGGTCGGCTGCTGCCCTGGAAAAGCGCTCACTCAGGTCCGACTTGGAGCGTTGCAGGCCAGGTGGCCGGCCCGGGCTGGAGGTGGCAGTGGTGCCAGGCGATGGACAGGGACGAGCAGGTGAAGCAGGTAGGGGACGAACATCCACTCGGCGCACAGCGACCGTACTAGGTGGTGGACGAGGAGGGGTGGCTGGAGGTATCTTGTGGGAAGATCCTTCTGCCCGTACAGGCGTTCGGCTTGCCTCAGCTGGGGTCACAGGACTATCACACAGGTTGATGAGACTGCTAAGGATGTCAATGTCCAATTGGGGCCGCCGACCAGGACAGGGCAAGACTCGGCGGCTGGGAGTGAGCACTGGCCCCCGAGGACCAGGGCTGAAGAGGGGCTGTCGGGCCAGCGGGGGTTGCACAGGCTCCTGTCGGGTGTTGGCCACATGGAGGCTCTTGACATACTTGGCCTTGTCAGCCTCCAAGCGTTCCACGGCACTCAGCTTCCGGGCTCCCCCATCCGCTGGCCTTGGTAGCAGGTAGCTGGGGACCTTGGTTCGCAGGCGAAAAGGTAGGGCAGGAGCGGCGGGGGCTGCAGGGCTCAGCGTGTCCACGGGCATGGCGGTTACATACCCCGAGGGCAGAGGCGAGGAGAGAGATACAGGCACAAAGTTGGCAGCTGGATGCCGGGCTCGGCTGCAAGCAAGAAAAGAAGACAGGCTGAGCACGTTCAGACAAAGGCTCGGCTGGCTGCGAAGCCTGCGCTATTATAAGGTAAAGGGCACGCCCCTGCCTCACGAAGAGCCAATCATCAGGCAGAATGTACCATTGGAGGGCCTATGGCCCCACCCACACACCCTTTCCCTCCAATACTGGACGAGGACCAGCGCAGCTGCCGGTGAGAGGGAAGAGGCAGAGACAGCAGGTCCACTTTAAAGAGAGCAAAGCAGGCTCCAGGCTCCAGGCTCCAGGCTCAGCCGCAGGGTCCTCTGAACAGACCCATTTATGGATGGGGAAACTGAAGCCTCAGGAAGGCAATGAACTTGCTTAAGCCGTCCCTTGCTCCCATGATAGAGGACACTAGAGACAGGAGAGTTGGGGTTGAATGGCCACCATCCCACATCCCACCTGGACTGCCCAGAGGAGCCAGATACCACCAACATCCCACAACTAGTCCAGGCAGGAAGTTGTGCAGTGCCAACCACCTGCCTGGGCCTGCCAGGCCCACAAAGGGCACAAAAGCAGAGGCTGCAGGGGAGGAGCAGAAAGAAAGCCCACACCCCGACCCTCGCAGAGCCCAGACTAGAGTAGCTTCCAGGATATGGCTCCAAGGCCAAGACCACAGAGATCAAGACACACAGACAGGAGTACCAGCCCAAAGCTAGCTGCCGGAGGGAACTGTCGAGGTCACAGCCCCACCCAGACGTATGCTGCTGACCAACCACCATGACAGTGCTCATGGGCTGTAAGGCCCATCCATGCCTGGGTGCTCAAGTGGCCCCATAGTTGTCCGACAGTCAGATCAAGGAAACGTGGCCAGAAAGTGCCACAGTTCTCCCCACCACCCCGGCCCCTCAGATATGCAGCAATGTCAAACCTTCTTGTCTCCAGGGGGGGGGGGGCTGAGCACAGGGACTACCAACTCTGGCAATTCACTCAACAACACTAGCTCCAGCCATGCTTCAAGTTCTCCATGGCTGCACTGAGACCAAGCATGTCCAAACACAGTAAAAACATCACTGAGACACCCAGACAGGGACTCCCCACTGTGTGCCAGACACTCAAAGCCACGCTCTCTTGATCCACCTCAAACAGCCCAGAAGCCTGTCACCATTTTGTAGCAGGGGAAACTGAGACTCTGAAACTGAGACTTCCCTAGATCCCAGAGGAGATTAAAAAGGCGATTTGAGCCCACTCCCGTGGCACTGCTTCTCCACACACACACACACACACACACACACACACACACACACTACACACACGCACACCCTGCTTCTCTTCTCTTTATAGTCATGGGTGCCATAGAACTTACTGTGGATATGGTTCTTTCATTCTTTGCTGTCCCCCACTCCCTAAAATACTAGCTCCAGGAAGGCAGAGGTTTCGGCTGTTTTGTTCACTGGGTCTCAGCTTCATGATGTGGCTCTCAATACATGCTAGATATTCCACAAGTGTGTCCTGAACTGAAATGCCTAGGAGGGTTAGCTGAGAACCAGCACACCAGTGAACTAGAGAAGCCCCGCCCACCGCAGACAGGTGAGTCCAAGGTAAGGGGGGTAGTGTTCCCAGGGCTGGCAACCCAGAGGGGCAGGTGCTCTCTAGGTTTGTAACTGTGAGCAAATTCCATCATCATGTTTTAAAGGCTGCATGCACTGGGCAAGCATAGCCTATCTGCAGATGTATCTGCACTTCCATCAGCTTCCCCCAGGCCCCCAGCACAGTGATGGGGTGGGGGTGGGAGGGCAGGGCTGCTCTCTAGACTCAGGGGCCTAATAGGCAGGAAAGGAGGGCTGGCCCCACTCCAGTAGACCCCCAGGTGACCTTGGGCAGGAAAGGTCTGGCCATTAGAGCTGCTACAGAGCCCTGCCTAGGTAGCCAGATTCTGCCCCACCTCCTTAACCCCCACATTTGCTCTGCCACCCAAACCAGTCCAACCCGTTGGTGGTGGCTGAGGCAGTTCCCTCCCAAACATCACCTGGGAAAGAGGAAGGAGGTCCATAGGGGCAGGGCCAGGGCAGAAGCTCCCCCACCACCACCACCTTGCTTCTATACCCACCACCTAACCCTAGATTAAAATGGGGCAGGAACAGATGCCACAGACCATCTGGGTCCCCACTCTCCCACCAGCCCCTGCCTTGCACCTTGCACAAGCTCTTAACAGACTGTTCCCTTATCTGCTAAAGGCAGTTAAAAATAGACCTCCCTGTGCCTTCGGGTCACCGCTGGAAAGATCAAACGGGTTCGCAGCACCTGGAAAATGGCCAGCGCTCTATAAACCAGGCTCGCTGTCAGATACTCAGGCTCTGATTACAGGAGTGAGCAGACCCGCCCCTTCCGAGGGTCTCTAAGCCCCATCCAGAAGGGCCGATCTAGGCTCCAGCAGGGACAAAGGAGACATCTGGTAGGGGCTGATCACAATGAGCCAGCAGACTGGCACCAACTCACGTCACAGGGGCCCCTCCAAGAGGAAGCCTGGGTCCGGGTCGCCTAGTGAGATTAAACGTCTCCTCTGGGGACTTTTCTCACCACGGGCTTTCAAATCCTGCCGCAAATGGCCCTAAATGCAGCAACCTGGAGCCTTTCTGGTCACTGTTCCAGGCCCATAGTCCGATTTTGTCCCTCCCTTCAGGCTCCCAAAGAACTGATCAGGACGCCAGGAAGGCCCCAGTTTGGTTTCGGCCCTTTCTCACTTAGAAGAAATCCTGGAGACTAAGGCGGCAAGCCTTGAGGTGTGAGTCCCCCATGATCTGCTGTTCCTCTCTGAGCAGCAGATCATGCGGGGACTGAAGGCACAATCCCTGCCGCGCTCCCCACTCCCCAGCACCACCACAACATACCTGGCTGCGCAAGCCGCCTCCTGCCAGCAGCCTGCGCGCCTCCCGCCCACCTGGCTCAGGTAGCCGGTATTTGCGCAACTTCCGGGGCCTGGTAAGTGAACCCGCCGGCCCGGAGTGTTCGAGGAGTGGGAAGGAGGGCCAGGCAGTGATCGCAATGGGTGACTGGCAGCCTGGTGCGGGAACCTGGCCGCAGCGGCTCCCCCAGGCTCACCCCGCCGGGCTCTCATCCGAACTGGAGCCTGTACAGCCGGCAGCACGTCAGGCAGGGTTGCACGGGATTCTAGTTGGCCTTCGCTGCCCGGCACGGGAAAGTGCTCTTCCTGAACATTTAATCTTTCCGTGATTAAACGGGGTGCAGTGAGAATTAGTGTGGTCTGGGTAGCCTTCCTATGAGGCAACTCCATTGTCATCCAAGTTGACTAATGGAAACCCCAGACAGGCCGGGCTGAGTCACTTGCCAAAATCAACCGGGGAGTCCAACCTGGGTACTTTCCCTCCCACCACTCCTCACCGCCACCCTTTCCCCTGTGTGCCAGCAGGTGGCTGGGCTTCAGTCCCATGAATGAGAAGAGTGGGACCTTAGGGGACAGCCTACTGCCAGTGCTCAAAGCTTGAGGTGCTGGCTTTGTGCCAGCTTGAAGGATCAAGAGAGGCAACCACAGTGGAGTGGCGCAAGATGGCCCATTTAACCCCTGAACAGCAGGACCACCAGCAGGGGGACAACCTGAAACCCATAGTTCACAGAGGAGACGGCAACCCTGCTGGGAGGGACCCCTGGCGGGATCCAGCTGTCCCCTCTGCCAGTCCAGTTTTCTGTCACTTTCCAGGGTATTGTGAGGTCCAGGGGAAGGAGACCCCAGCCCTGGCAAAACACTCCTCTACCCAGGAGGAGGCTAGGCCAGGGCTGGGGTGGGGCAGGGAGAGACAAGAAATGGTTCCTGTCCACTTTCCTTCCTTCTGAGCATTGAAGGCCCCTCTAGTCCTGTATGTTACAGGACAGAGGACAAGTCACCCACCTTGGTCCGTCAGCTCACTGCCTGGCCTGGCTGGGATAGCAGAGGAACAGGCAGTCAGCAGGCTTCAGGCCCTAACAGTGCACACTACAAAGACAGAGGCACCTGTCAAAGAGAAGCCTGCTCATTCCTGCAAATTTCTTTTAGCAGCAGACACTGTCTGAAGCTTTTTGTTGTCCTTGTCATTGGAGGAGGATGGGTGTTTGTTTTAAACGGGTCTTGCTGTAAAGTCCAGGTCAGTCTGGAACTCGCCATCCTCCTGCCTCAGCTACCCTTTTGGGATTACATTTATGTACTGCCATGCCTAGCTCAGATTATATGTGAACTCATCCCATTCTTATTCCTGTGAGGCAGATACTGCTATTGTGCCCATTCTACAGATGAGATAACTAAGGCATAGAGAAGTGAAGCCACCTGCCTGAGATCACACAGTCAGCAAATGATATAACCAGGATTTGAACCCAGGCTTGGATCTGATAGGGAGAGAGACAAGAGACAGAATGTACCTCCTGGTAAATCCCATAAGACCACTCAGCCACCTTGCCTGGTCTCCATAAGGATCCGCCACCTGTGGAAACACATCCAGGCTGTGTTTGGGGCTGCAGCGTCCTCCACTATAACATGAGACAATGGCGATGTTTTCCTAACAGATCCACACTTCACTACTAATGTGCTTGACCCTCATACGCTCCCGGGGATAAATTCCAGCCTCCCACACGGCCCTCTGGTCTTTGCCCAACTTTACCACCTCATCCAAACTGTCATTCCTGGACCAGCCACAGAACACTCCTGGCTGCTAGTCCTTTACAAACGTCTTTCCTACCCCAGGGCTCTTGCACCAGCTGCTTTCTAAAACCTCTTCCCTCACTGTCTCTGAGAGCCCTCCCTTTCTGCCCTGTTGGGCCTCCATGATCCTTCTTGCACCTCCTGTTCCCCTTAAAGCAGCACCTTTGCTGATCTTGCCATTCCTGGCGTTCACGTCCTTGTCACTTTTTTCCTAGCTGCCCACTGGACTGAGGGCCATAGCTCTGCTGTGTTTCCTCCTCCCAGGAACAAGCGAGAGGAAACGTCACTGTCCAAGAGGCTGAAGAAGGCCCAGGCCAGCATCAAGAGATACACATCAAACACATACAGCTCTCTGTATGTCAATCACACTCCAATTTCCAAAGGAAGGAAAGAGGGGGAGGGAAGGGGAAGACATGGAGGAAGATGGAAGGAGGAAGGGAGGAACACAGTAAGGAAGGAGCATGGACATGCCTGTGTCCCTCGCAGGAGCATTTGACAAGATCTTGGTGATCAGCTGGCACACTGACCATCCCCCCTTGTACTTAATAATTAGCGGGGGTGGGCGGGGACCGGGATCTCTGAGTGCCAAGTCTCCCCTCGGCCACCACATCCCTTCACCCTGTTCAAGCTTGACCACTTCCAGCCAAGCCTTGCTCTTCCTCCAAAGATGCAGAGTCAAAATCTTCAAGGCTCTGGCTCACCCCACTCATACCTCCGCTGTGGGGAACTTCTCCATACCTCAGTTTCCCCCGCTATAAAACAGGCCTTAGGCACGATGCTGCCATCAAAGAGAAAACCGTGATGCTAGCTGGACACGCAGATCTTCCAAGGCCCAGCTCTGGAGGGGGCATCCGCCATGACGCTGTAAGGACAAGAGCAGCAGCGTGGCGACAGCTAAAACTTCAGTCACTTGAAGCAGCGCCTGAAACAGCACCTTCCACATAGAAGGAAACGAAGCTGGGCATCGTGGCACATATCTTAATCTCAGCACTGAGATTAATGAGGCTGAGGCAGGAGGGTCATGAGTTCTAAACTAGCCTGGCCCCCTCCACATACACACATATGTAAAAGCTATCTAAAGAGCCAATGAATGTAAAGAAATAAGTTCCACACCTCTAGACCATTAAAGAAATGCCAATCGAAATCACAGTAGCACACGGTGTCACACCCATTGGCATGGGTCCTATCCAAAACATACATTAAGATAGTGTTGGAAGGAGGTGCGTTTTAGGACCCTGTGCACAGCGGATAGTGAAAACCACAACATGAGAGTTCTGTGTGGGTTAAATAGTGAATGACCAGAGCAGCACCTAGAAATCGCTGAACGCTCATCGTAAGGGACCCAGACCGTGCACGGCAGCGAAGATCCTCCCACTAAACCCGCAGCAGCCTTAGTGACCACAGCCAAAAGGCAGGCACAGTCCAAGGTCCCACCAGTGAATGAATGGGTAAGGAAACATAAAACAGATGATTCAGCCTTTACGAGGGAAAGGGGACTGACACACACTACATTGATGAAACTTGAAGACACCAGGCTAAGTGCAGTAAGCTGAACACGGTGGCAGATAGTGCGTGCTTCTGTGTAGATGTGTCCTCTGACTTCCGCATGCCTGCTGTAAAATATGTGTTCGTGAGATAAAAGCAGTAAGCCCCTCACTTCATAGGGTGGGGGAAATCATGGCTCAGACTGGTTTAGGACTGAGTACAAGGCAAGCGGCCTGAGCCCAAGCAGCTGTGCCCACTCTTCCCTTTGTATCCTTTCTTCCCAGTAGAAGGTAGATCCTCTAGGGCTGATCATTTTTAATAACATTCTTCACCGCCCCATCTGCTTCTCTGTCCTTTCAAAGGAAACCTGGCTCAGGCCTGGTAGACAGAGGAGGATCAAGAAGGCTCCAGGCAGTGGGGAAGAGCCAGCCCAGCTGTCCAGGTCAGAGACACCCAACTGGGCATTCTCCAGGGCAGGCCAGGTTCCAAGCTATTTCTGGAGTTTTCCCCAGCATCATGCCCTGGCCTGCCCGGGAGTCAGCCTTGCTCAGAGTAACTTTGCACGAACCTCAGGGAGGGAGTTATGAGTGGGCCACCATGGGAGGGGCGTGGGTGTGAATGCCTAGGGCAGTGAGCATCTATACAGATCTCCCCTCCCTCATATATGCTCCTCCACTAATTCAGACTTTGGGGACTCAGTTTGCACCCTGACAAAGTGGGAGCAAAGGCAGATTTACGGGGGACGGGAGGCTTGATTTAGACCTGTGGTCACACCCACTTCCTGCCCTACAGTACCCTGTCGAGGCCTGAGCTCACATGCAGTGTTTTATGCCAGCTCGGAATGTGAAGAAACTTGCCCAAAGTCACACAACCGGTGACAAATCACAGGCCGAGCCGTGACCTCATAACTTCCTGTAGATGTCATCAGTATATCTACTTAGTGGCTTCTCAATTAGCTGACCCGCGGTCGAAGCTTGGGATGGCAAAGCGCGTCATGGTACGCGCGCCATTTTCACTCAGCTCCTATGCTCAGTAGCCCACGTTTCTCTTGGTGCCCATCAGTACCTAAGCAGTTTCTGATTATTTCCCATCAGCCTCTACTGATGGCTGCTGCACATTTGTCCGGTCCCTGCTTGCTACAAGCCATGCAGCATTGTGGTACCTGTCAGTTTTGCCTAAAAAATGAGGTAACTGGATTGGGGGGTTTGTGTGGGGGGGGGGGTTTACTCTAACAGTGATGCCTATGCTTGCCAGAGTCGGCCAGAGCAGACACCACCCTGCCCTGCTCCATCCCCAGGACACCACACAGCAAATGGCCAACAGATGTTGGCTTTGATCATCTTGGTTCTAGAAGCTTCGGGCACCCTGACATTTTATGCCTGTGTTCAGCATCTCACTTGCCTGACACATTCCTGTGAAGAAGATAATAAACCACCTAACAAGATACCTAGAGCACAATATGGACCGGACACTACTGAGAAAAACGAGGCACACAGGGAGAGACCAGGCCACAGGAAGCCAGACAATGCGGAAAGAACACATGAGGCAGGGGGTGGACTGGACGCCCAAGGTGTGGAAGCCCAGTCGGTGGAGTGCTTGCTTAGCACGCACCAAGCCTTGGGTTCCATCCTAAAAATGGCATAAAACTAGCATGGTGGCGAAACATGCCTGTCATCAGGGAAGGCAGATCCAGGGCGACGGCGAGTTCAAGACCAGTCTAGCATACAGAGTAAGACTGAGGCCAGCTTGGCCCATGCGAGACCCTGAGGGTAAGGGGGGGACGCCACAAGGACACACAGACAGGCAAACACAGACTCCCCCCAGAGCCAGAATGAGGACTGGAGGACGAGCAGTTCCCCTCAGAAGAGAGCCTCCATCAAATCTGCCTCTTCCCTGTGCCGAGGACTGGAAGAATCCTGAAGAGTTAAGTCTGTGACTTTGAACAATGGGCTCAACTTCTCAGCACCTCAGTCTCCTCACCTATGAAAAGAGACGGACAATGGCAGCCTGAGCAAGAAGCACAGTCCAGCCTAAACCAGACGCTTAACTTGGGAGGGCCTGACCCAGCCCATGGCTCTAAAGTTCAGTGACTGGCAAGGCTGACCCCCCCAACACACACACACACACACACACACACACACACACACACACGGAGTGCACAACATTCACAGGAGCAGACTTCCGAGAGGCCCACGTGACTTCCAGGCCCTTTGGCTCTGCTGTCCTGCTAGCCTGCCCCCAGGGAGGCTCTCTCAGAGGGCAGCCCTGGGATTCCGGACCATTCAGGCAGAAAAGTTGCCAAAGAGTCCCTGGGGAAAGGAAGGCCACATGGCCTGGAGGGGAACTCCAAGGACAGGTGGGGCGGAGGCAATCTAGCCCTGGGATCCCCTGAGCCTTGTCCTCCCAAAGCCATGAGAGTGACCAGCAGGGACTCTCTGAACGTCTCACGGCAATCTGCCTGAGGTGGAGGCTGCAGGGTGGGACAGGGAACAGCCTGGATACTCCGCGGGCCGCCCGGGCTGGACACGAGACCTGGACCCTCTGTCGGTCATCTGTGCTGGGACGCTTGCCTAGGACGGTGTGTGGACGCTGCTGCCCCCGGACCCTGTGCCCTGCCTCACCCCACGCTTACCTGCACCCTGTGTCTGGAGTCCCCCGCCTCTCGCGGGCTGCCGAGGCTGACAGCTGGAGCACTTGGTCCCCGCAGCTCTGAGGCGGCCGTCGCGTGTTGAGACCGACGGGCTCTCGGGAGAGGGAGGCCCTGGCTGTCCCACGGTCCTGCTGGGCGAAGGTCCCCAGAGTCCGTAGGAAAGGGAAGTGAGCGAGCCGTCCCCGTCGCCCGCCGCAATGGTTCGCCCCGGACTTCCTGATTGGCCCATCGCTTCCGTTCGAACGGCGCGCCACCAAAGTTGCCAAGCAACCTCAGGAGCGGCAGATGGAAGGGGGGCGGACCCACGGTGGCCGCCCGGAGCCCAGCTGGCCGCTCGTCCTTCCTGCTGCCCCGACCCCTGGCAGCCAATGCATTCCCTTTTTTCTCCTCCTCTTCCAGCTGGGATTTCCTCGGTCCCCAGCTACAAGAATTGCTAGTCCCAGATTTGTTTGGTTTGGTTTTGCACAGGCTCTAGTCCCAACTTTTTTTTTTTTTTTCACTAAGCTACCCAGGCTGACCTTAAATTCACGCTGTGGTCCAAGGAGCCCTCAAACTTGTTATCCTCC